AAAAGGTATGTATACTAAAACAGTCCCAGTCACAGGTATGTTCTGGTGGTCTGAGATGACACCAGGCAGGTTATCTAGAAAGCCTGGTTGACCATTATCTCAGTCCTTGTTCTTCGATGGTTCTGGAGAATTTGATATCACTGTCACCTCTTGAGGGGAGCAATCTCGTTCCCGTGAGATGATTGCTCCTGCTTCAGGTTGCAGCCTCATCATTACAGGTAATTGTCTTCATTGAGGGGAATAGTCTGTCCTGCAAGGCTCTGTTGATCCTTAGGAATAGTTTCAGTCCCTTGTCATAAAGATGTTATTGATCAGTCCTATTCTTTCTGGAACTTGAGGTGCCTGCAGGAGAGAATGGCTCAGACAAAGACAAATACAAAATGGGGGAAGACATGCCAAGTTTTTCTCTTGCCATTAGTTAATTCATGGACCCAAGTAAGGAGCCAGTGTTTTTCAGCAAAAGCAATTTAAATACCTTTTACAATGGTGCCTAAGAAATGGTTGTTTATTGGCAGTGGGGAGGAATCTAGGCTGATTCCCTCTGGTCCTTTCCTGTGGGTATGAAGGTTTCACATAGGTATATTGGTTTCTTTGGAGAGATAAATAGGATTCAGTGTATTCCACCCCTGTCCTCCAATGCTGAGTCCCTCTCCCAGTAGAGTGGACATCCATTTGTTTGACTCCTACTCTTAATACTGTCCTCTTCCATATTAACTGATTCTTTCTGGGATGTTTTAAGAGCCACAGGTACCTGGGTTGACATGGCAGTGCCCCACTTCTTCCTAGTGACACTAATAATAATGATAAATGTCACCATTTATTCAGTAGCATTTATTTGGCACTTATCTATGCCAAAAAATGTATTGGTTGTATATATGTCTTTTTTAAATTATCACACAAGTCTACCAAGAAGTATCATTTCTCCCTTTTTTTGATGGACTGTTGTTTAATACTTTGATAGTTTATTTTTGTTAATGATAGGAAATTTTTCTCAGATTAATTTGTAACAGTGAATGGAAAGCTACAGCTATATCTAGAAAAGTTGGCAAACAGCATTTATCTTTAAATTTCAGGGAAATTCACATACATTTTTAAAGTAAAATTTTAATAGAAAACTGAATCTTGTTCTTTCAGATTTCAAATGTAAAAGTACTGTACTAGAGAAAATTCCATTTTCCGTATCAGTTTAGATATTACAGTAAAAGGTGTTGGATTGCAGAATGCATTTAATGAAAACATTGGTGTAAACATACAAAGAAGTTAGCTTGTCCACATGGAATAAAATCAATAATCACATAAATGAAACATGATTATAATGACTAAAGCAAAATTTCAAAGTATATTTTTGTTTTCTTGTTTATGCATATATTAATAGATTTTTTTTCAAATGTTAAACAATTTCACACCAATATCTACTAAAACCAACACGCACAATAATAAAATTCCTAAAACTTAATTAATTATTAACGTCTTAAAAATCTAATTCCAATTCCCATATGAATTCTGTAACCAAGCATAGCTCTGTGTAGTGCAACCTGGGCACTGTCTCTTTCAGGATTTTCCAGGATTGATAAGCATTTCAAGGTTAACTCATGTTGAAACCCACAAGTCCATTCTGAATTCAGTGGATCTTTACAATAGGCCTCCACTTATGAGAACATCTGCATACATGCGTTACAATTTTGAAAGGAATGAGGTCTGCACACATGTTAGTTTTTAACTTTATCCAATCATTAATTTTCTGCAAAGTTGTTTTTTCTTGACTTGGTATTTTTACAACTTTTTTCATCCTTTGTTCATTTCTTTCCATGTACTTCAACCCTTCCAACTGCAGCTGATCCAGCTGACTTTTCATGTTGACTTTTATCTAATGATGTATTTTCACACAGGGCAGGATTGAATCTAAAATGTTTCAGGAGGTAACAGACTATCAAGCATTATGTGGACCTCTGTGTCTATGGTGCTGTTGATAACATTTGAAAGTCTGGTTTTCAAGCTTATGTATGTCGCCATGTTTCTCACATCGTTCTCATGACATCTGGTGCCCAGAGACATCTGACCAAAAACACCTACACTCATGCATTGCCAGTGCTGAAGGGTTATTCAGAAGCAAGCCTCCATCTTGATAAAGATCATTTCCCAATGTGTATTCTGCAAAGTAGCTTGAGCAGCAGATGAGTTCTGATGGCCTGCCACATTTTGTACCAACAGCTTCCCAAATAATGAGTGTTGATTCCAGGAAAATGACCATAGTTTCTGAACACAAAAGCTTTTGGTGTTATCCTTCTGTTTACTATGGTGCTTATAGCGACTACTTTAGGAGACTTAGGGTTTCTTGATATTTGAGTCATTAGTGTAGATCTCATTCTCTCCTAAGAATCTTTTCCCGCATTTTACTGTCATAAAATGCATGACTCCAACTCCTTTTGACTGTCCCAACAATGACATTTTGTGAAAATACATCTGATCCTAATTTTCTATAGTTCCTCACATTCATCCAAGGCCATATGAGACAATCCCAGCATGAAAGGTAGAATGGCACCGTGCTTCCACCCCAAATGTAATCTAAGAGCTGATTAATAGGTTTCTGAGTAAGTTCAATTAATTTCCACAAAGTCTGAAAAGCAACCACACCCCTTGTTCCTCAATCATCACTGTAAGAAGTCTGATTCCTCTCCCTTTCACTGGATCCACAAAACCATTTAAGCCAAAAATTTCTCTAACTGAAGCCTAAAGAGTTTCATCCTTAATTTATCTCAGTCATAATAAATAATTATGTCCTTAACAGCCACTCATTTTCCTTCAGGAAATTCTAGAAGATGAAGAGTCAATCCTTCAGTCCTAGTAATGCAGAGTTTGGGTCTGTTGTTCTTCATGCCTGAACTAAGGCCTGAGTTCTATTATCAACACTCACTCTGGCAATACTCTTATCTGGCTGAAAAGATAAGTGCCTTTTCTCCTCTGCAAGTTTGTCTTCCCTGATAGCCTGCTCAGTTTTAGTAGATGACTTCTGTTCCTCTGACTGGCTTTGTGAGTCATACTTTAATTTGGGGACAGGCCCAACAGTATAGCCACCTACTAAAGCTTATATGCCTTCTGTGGGATGAAAAATAAAGTCAGCAATACTTTGTTTAGTGGGAACTGGAAGAACCTCAGGCTTCCCATGTGGACTTCAGGCTTGTCCACAGTGTGCATGGGGGATTCCTAGCCCAGCTAATGAGCTAGGATGCCAGGATGTAGGGAACCGGATTTCACTTCTTCAGCTTTTTCACCTCCAATGTCTGATTTGTCTGGAACATGCTTATTTTCCCTTTTTCTTGAAACATTTTTTTCCTCAAATTGAGACATTTTTATCAAATCATAATTAATTCATACTTCCTTGAATTACGATTTGATAAAAAGTTGCATGAGTCTCCCAATTTTGTGTTTATACTATTTGTGTAATAAAAAGGCTTCATTTCCCTTCTTTATCTACAACGTCAATTTTCTCTTCTTCAGGACTCTTCTCTGCTGACTGGTCATTGTAGTTTTTCAGAGACTTGATGGCATGCTTACAGTTTTTTGTTTTAACCAGCCACTATCTGATACTTTTCTTAATATTTGAGAACTTAGCTTAAATTGGCTTAAACATTAAATCATTTCATTTTGAGAGCTAAAGAAAGCCTTTGAAACAGAGTTCAAAGTACTTCTAATATGGGACCAATGCTCAATTTTGGAGTTCCCTCGGGAGCAGAAGTGCTAAATTTCAAAATTCCCATATATAAACCATGGTTGTTTAGCGAGGACCTGTGCTTACTGTAAGAATAGGCTTCACTTTTTGTCCATTTATATCTTACTTTGCTTGAATGAAAACCTCTTTGTAAATGGATATAGCTTATTCTCCAGTGATGTGTAGGTGAGCACAAAAAAAATGCAGCTGCTTGTTTTTCTGCTTCCAGAAAGACTAAGGAGGTAGATATATATATACAAAAAGTCAAATCAGTAGACATAAGTTAAAAATCATTCAGTTTCTATGACATTTTCTTGCCTCATGAATTTCATTTAAGAAATTCCATAATTCATAGTCTTACCACAATGTAGGCCTCATTCACTTCCATGTTGACAACTCGCCCCTTACAGGCATTGATGTCCACCTCAGCCAAGCAGCCTGCCTGCAACAGCTGAGCTTCCAACATATGCAGATCCAGCTCGTGGAGTCAAACTCTTGTTTTTTCTTTTGGCTGAACTAGGATTTGAATTCACACTTGTAGACAGGCTCTCTACCACTTGAGTCACTTTGCCAGCCCAGGAGTGGGATTTGAACTCAGGGCTTCATACACGCAATGCAACCACCCTACCACTTGAGCCATACCTCCAGTCTTCAGTTCTCATTTTATAAATGAAGAAACTATGAGTCAGAGAAGTTTTGGAGTTTACCCAGTATCACACATGAGAAAGTGACAGAGCCAGGGTTAGAAAATTCAGATCTGACTCCAAGGCTCTAAGTGAATCATTTTATTCTACCTGAAGTCAGTTCTTTTCAGGATGTTAACTGTCAAATATGTTGCCTCTCTTAGATGATACAGGTACATTCTACTGAGGAGTCTTAGTGTCTTAATCCAAAGAGGGGGCTGACGGTAGAGATTTCCAGCCAAGAAAGACTTGTAGATAGAAGAAAATTACTTTCCCACTCCCACCCCCACTTAGGCAGTGTTTAGGGTCAAAACACCCTCTGGATCTGCTACCTACTAGAAATAGCCTAATTTGTACCCATCACGGTTTCACCCAGACACCAGTGGTGTGGCTTAACTTCCTGTCCTCAGGAGCTTCTAATCATTTACAGCCTATGTGATGGATATTTGAACCAGGGGTCAAAGTGAACAACCCCAGTTACACAACCAAAATGTACAAAGACTTTGTTTTGTCAATATTGTGTGTGTGTATGTGTGTGTGTGTGTGTATGTGTGTGTGTGTGTCAGAAGTCTGTATAAAGTTCTCTGCTATGGCAGACCATGGGATGGTTTAGCACAATGAAGGTGTTCATTGCAGCACTGCTTTTGCTCACACTGCAGTGTTCGTGTGCTGTGAGTCCCACCGATTGCAATGATATTGAGCCTGTGGCTGAGGAAGCTCTAGACCTGATCAATAAAGGGCGCTGGAATGGCTATCTTTTCCAGTTGCTGCGGGTTTCTGATGCCCACTTGGACAGCGAGGTGAGAAATCAATGGAGAGATGAGTTGGGAGGCCTTGTACCATGGCAAGTGGGACTCTAGCTCTAAAACCAACTGCTTTGCCCAGTGAACGAGTGGCTTTGTTCAGGATTTTCTGTTTAGCTTCTGAGTCTGTTCTTGACCTTTTTTCCTTCGAGTTAATGCTTATTATTGGCATGTCCTTAACTATGAATCAATTTGTGAGGATTTAGAAGCACTTAGGCTGAGCCCAGTTGAATGCTAAGTACTTTCAGAGAAAAACTAGAATTAACTAGAGTTATTGCCCTCAAGGAAATAATAGTCTGCTGACACACATAGCAAACTATGTAAGATAGGGTATATTCAGTTGCCAAGTACATGGAATAGATAACGGAGCAATTTAATGAAAGAAAATCTGTTAAGATTGGATGGGAGAAAGCTTCTTGAATGAGAAGGCCTATGGTACCTCTAAAACCAGCACTCAGGAGGTTAAGGTAGAAGCTAAGGCCAACTTGGGCTATATAGCAAGACCCTATTTCAAAACAAAACTAAAAAAGGAAGGAAGGAAGGAAGAGAGGGAGGGAGGAAGAAAGGGAAGGAGGGAGGGAGGGAGGGAGGGAGGAACTGCTTTTATTTTTTAAACCTCTAGGCTTCCATACCCTACTCACCTCTTGCTTTCTTGGCATTCCTCAGGGATCTGCAACTGTCTATTATTTAGTCTTAGATGTGAAAGAATCTGACTGTTGGATCCTATCCAGGAAGCCCTTGGATGAATGTGAACAAGTTTCTAGACGGCCATCTGATATAGTAAGTAACTGGGTACCATCACTGTTCTTTTATCATTCTTACCTTCTATCTACTCTGCTCACTCAGGAAAGCCACATGCCTGGCTAACACAACAGAAAAGTAAGACAGCATGTGCTTTGAGATTCATGAAGATAATGTTGACCTTGAGTAATACTCTCTTGAGAGTCATTCATGGGAACCCAGTTCAAGATAGGTCAGCAGGCTTGTGGTCCCTTGGGATCATGACTAGCTGTGAGTCACTGGGCAAAATACCAAACATTCCTAGATTTCAGTTTTCTCTGTGTAAACTGTAAAATAAGAAGAGGGGCTTGAAGTGGATGGCCACTAGGGTTCTTCCCATCCCTCACAGTCTACAGAGCTACAAATCTATGAACTCATAATGATGTCCCATGAAGACTGATTCCATCAGCAAGAATAGCCAAAGGGTTTAGTTGCAGTGAGGAATACAGTCTTGCTATGCATGTCAGAATGGGTACTGAGATGCCAGGCTCTGTGCCACAGGTGGAGAACACAATGACAAATAAGCAGGAATACAACATCTCATTTACAAAAAAAGAAAATTTTGTACACTGGGAGTCTTAGTGCTTTTTCCCCTTGAAAATACTTGGGATTTGATCATGATTCATTTAAATTGTTTCTTCCTATTCTCACAAAGACTATGAGTGCAATAGTGTACAGCACACAAGCACTAAGAAAATGCAGGGTTTGAGACAGAGTTTGATGAGGGAGACCCCCAAATACATTTTAGGCAGGAGTATGTTACATCACTTTTATGTTCCCTCATATGTGACCTGAGGAAGGCAGTGCACAATGACTCAAAAATTCTCTTTTTCCCAGGTGATCGGACAATGTAAGGTAATAGCTACAAGTTACTCAAATGAAACTCAGGATCTTAGAGTGAATGACTTTAACTGCACCACAAGTTCTGGTATGTTAATTTGTAAAATTGGTGAATTCTGGTATGTTAATCAGTAAAATTGCTAATTGACTCCAGATTAATGTAGAACTTAGTTATCTGTTGGTATTCACCATATAATACCATGATGTATATCAGAAAGGGTCCCTCCCTCATGATCTCCATTATTTATTACTCACTCTCTTGAGACAGAATAGGTTACTATGTAAAATTCTTTAAATAAACTCAATATTTAAAAGTACAGATTTACAAGAGGCAGTCTCTATACCATCATTATGGAGACAGGTGCTGGGATCTGACCTGCTTGAGTTTGAATCCAACCGATCACTTCCCAGTTGTATGGTTTGGGGAGCAAGTTACTTAACTCTTTAAGCTTTTCTCATTTGTAAAATGAGGAAAATAATAGTATTAGCTTTTAAAATTCTTGTTAGAATTAATAAGACAGTCTTTGCAGTTCTTAGCCTCAATAAAAATTGGTTTCAACGTTTAAAAGTTACGTATTGTTCTACAGTTCAAAAAGCAGCTATATATGTATACATTATACATAGTTTCATTTAATTTCACACAAGGCCATGAAATAAAGATTATGAAGCTTTCTATTTTAGAGATAAAATAATTTAGTCTAGCAGAAGTTCGATGGTGTGGCCTTGGGAACACAGCCTCATTGATTCAAGGCAGACATGACTTTATCTCAACAGTGCTGTAAAGTCCATGATCTTCTTATTTACTTTTTAAAAAAGAATGATCTCAGATTCCTTTGAAAATGGCTAATCTCAACATGACTCAATATAGTCAAGAGCCAAACAACTTCTAAAGGAGGCTGCCTTGAAGAAAGTTTAAACGCAGGGTGCCGGTGGCTCCTGCCTGTAACCTAGCTGTTCAGGAGACTAAGATCAGGAGGATTGCAGTTCCAGACCAGCTCTGGCAAATAGATCGTAAAACTCCATCTCCAAAATAACCAGAGTGACTGGTGTAGTGGCTGAAGTGGTAGGTCACCTGCCTAGCAAGTGTAAGGCCCTGAGTTCAAACCCGGTACCACCACCACCACCAATAACAGTGTAATAATAATAATAACCAGAGCAACATGAATGAAGGTGTGTCTTAAATGGTAGAGCACCTGCTTTGCAAGCAGGAAACCTTGAGTTCAAACCCCAGTCCCACTAAAAAAAAAAAAAAAAAAAAAAAAAAAAGTTGCTCTGTTTGTGTGTAAAACTTTATGTGAAGGCTGCCTGTATTCCCTGGGCAAACATGTTGTGAGTGGTGGGGGCGAGGGAAAAGGGGCGTCATGACCATAGGTCACAAAAGGCACCAGAAGGATAAGAAGGAAAGACCAGCAGGTTAGCTCAGCTGCTGATTGATCGTGAACAAGTTAGCTTCTCCAACCCTCAATTTACCACGTGTAAAATGGAAATGATCATTATTCTCGACACCACGCTTCTATGTGTTAGATTAAATCCTAAAATTGACATTGCTGTTTCTGACCTGCAACCATGGCATTACCATTTTCTTTCTCTAGTCTCTTCAGCACTGGCCAATACCAAGGACAGTCCAGTACTTGCTGATTTCTTTGAGGATACTGAGGCCTACAGAAAAGAAGCTGACAAAGCCCTTGATGAGTACAAGAAGGAGAACAGTGATTTTGCTTCTTTCAGAGTGGACAAAGTAGAGAGAGTTGCAAGAGTGGTGAGACTCCACTAATGGTCAGAGTCTGACCGCCCAGCTTCAACCTAGTAGACATGAATTGAGTTACATGCCCTCTCTACCCATCCTACTTGGCCAGCTGCCAAGAGGAAACAAAATCCAAAAAAAAAAAAAAAAAGATTAGGAAAGACAAGAGCATATTAGGGTTATGTGAGAATAGAAAACTGAGGCTCCGAGAAACCTCACCATAGCCAGTGGTGTGGCTGGAACTAGAGTTCCCTGCCTCACAGACCAAGGACTCTTAGCACTTCCCTCCCTGAGTTGTCTTGTAGAGTGGCTGGTTAATGTTTACCATACATTTTGAAAATGCAAAGTCAAATAGATTATGTGTGTGCAAGCAATGTAATGCTTACAATTAATTGTTACAAAGAATCCACATGCATCGGAAACAGTTTAAATACTATTGCTCAGGGGGAAGCAGAAAACAGAATAATACTTACCGTATGAGCTCATTGTATTAAATACTTAAATAGCTGTATATTTTAAGGAGAAGCACATCACGTGGTGACGTGTCACCCTACACTTGATTGTACCTGTGGGATATATTTTTTAAAGGCAGAAGCTGTAAGGGAAAATGGCAGGTATTGGTGAGGTTAATTCTCATAGTGCTTTCTAATACATTGGATAGTAGATATCTAAAGTTTTCTTTCCTGTTTTTTTCTGCTCCTGAAACTATGTTGATCCCATCTGTTGTAGAGAGGAGAGGAACGAACGAATTATTATGTGGACTTCTCTGTGAGGAACTGCTCTACACACCATTTCCCCAGACCTCCTAAAGTGAGTATAATAAGTGTCTGCACAACACTAAGTGGCATCTAAACAGTGCTTTGTGGCTGCTAGGTGCTCTTCTAAGCACTTTACACAGATGTTAACTTATTAATACTCACACTACCTTAGGAGGTAGATACCCTTTTTATCCCTGATTTGCTCATGGGGAAACTGAGGCATGGAAAGTCAAGTGAATCATGATAATATGATTTTAAATATACATGTTACATACTTAAAGTTGAGGTTTCTTTTTTGGGGGGTGGTACTGGGGTTTGAACTCAGGGTCTCAAGCTTACTAGGCAAGCACTCTACCACTTGAGCCACTCCACTTAAAATTGAGCTTTTACCTCGTTAGAATTAAAGGCTTAGCTAAAACTTATAAGCAGCCTGTATTAAAACCCTAGACACCAGGTATTTCATTCATTGCATTGCATTGACACCCACAGGGATTCCATGTGACCACCTAGGAGGAAACTGAGGTTCGGCAAAGGAAGGGCCTTGCCAAAGCTCAAAACTCAGCTGAGTTTAGAATCCACTCTTCTCATGGCAAGTTAAGCGGGATTTCTCCCTTAATCATTTACAAATTGACCCATGAACCTACTGAAGGATCTTATTAATAATACCTGACATTTCCATGGTTAATAAAACACCTCAAACCATATTATTGTTTGGTAAGACTCCCATGACAACCCCGAGAAGGAAAATCAAGTGCCTACCTCTATTTCTGTGGGACAAGGGGGCTTAAATTTTAACCACTTTCATAAGTGCCCTAAACTAGAAAGTGTTAGGATATGGGATTTTAATTCTGATTTAAGTCTAGGATTTTTTTCTTAGGTTTAACACACATCTTGCCTGGCTGAAAGAGAAGAAGCATGCATTATTTCCTTTCGGAGTGTTCAAATGTTCAACCTGTACCAACTCTAGATTCCTTCTTAGAGTCCATCAGAAGACACCTCTTCTCCAATCCCCAGCACCAACAAACTCTTAGCTATCTTTGTGTAGTAAGACATTCCCAGTGCTGTACCATAAATGAAGAGAAGCCAGAGAAGAAGAGGCTCGGGGCTGTGTTTTGTAGCTTATCTCTCTGAATTAAGCCCTCTCACAATCTGTGGGTAGATAGGATTATAGGCATTTTACAGAGACTGAGTTTCAGAAATTTTGAAGAACTTCTCTAAACCCAAACCACTAGGATATGGTGAAACCAGGATTATCTGGCTTTGAAATTGTACTCAGATCCTCAATGCTTATCAATTTTTTTCTAGAAAAGAGTTGTCTTCCTGTCTTTTGATGACGGGGTTTAGGGACCTCTGGAGCATAGAAGTGCCAAGCAGTTGTACCCCTCATACTTAGGGTGAAGCCAGCAGACACGTTAACTGGGTCCATGTAAACCCCTGATTTCCAACACTTTCACGGGACCAGTTAAAGTTATACAAATCCATCTTTTGCACATTCTTCATTCTCTCTACACATGGGCAACCCAGGTCTTCAGTGCAGAAGCATTGGTCTAAAGGCAAAGCAGTAATGGCATGGTCTTTCTCATCACCACAAGTGAGGAAACCCAGTACCGGTAACTGTTCACAGAAAAGAGCAACAGCAGCCTATGGTTCTTCCTTTGTTGAATGTCTAGAAGTTCATGACTCTAGCCAAGTTCATGACCTTCACATCCCTTGCATGCATGCATGCCTACGCACGCATGTGCATGTGTGGGGATACAGACACACACAAACACAAAAGACTTCTCTCTCTCGTAGGTCTTTGGATTCTGCAGAGCAGTTTTGTCCTATGCTGTAAAAGCCTCTGACTTGGAAACCCCAGAAGACCTTAATGTGAACTGTGAAGTTACCAACTTGGAGGTGAGTTGCCTGAGTGTTCTGTTATGAGCAGTGCCAAACTAAATAATATATTCACATGTGTAATGCTATTGGTTCTCATGGCTGTGTGTGTGTGTTACAGAGAGAGAGAGAGAGAGAAACATGGAGAAATCCAAACAGGTCCCTGGGCAAAGGAGTGCAATTGCTAGTATAACACTAAAAAGTATGAAGATTTATCCAAGAATTGGGGAGGGATAAGATTTGACAAAAAACATAAATTCATGATTATTCAATCAAATAGTCCTTGTAGCCAGGATTCCAGTGATGAGTCTTAGTAATTCTTTTTCTTTTGGTGGTGGTACTGGGGTTTTAACTCAGGTAAGGGTCTCACTTGTGGACAGGCGCTCCACCACTTGAGCCACTCCACCAGCTCGAGTCTTAACTTTAATTAGTAGACATAGAACCTAAGGAGTATGAATAAGCCTCACATTTTTCATGCAAAGATATATAAAGGATGATATTAACAATAATATATGTCTATTCTAGAAATCTTTATGTTATTTTATGAGTAAACACAGAGATGTTCTTCACAGTAATTTTTTATATCAGAAAAGAAAGAAACAGAGGAGAAGGAGAAGGAGGAGAAGAGGGATTGTTCTATGAACCTGGGTCCATACATTTATTATTTTCTTAATTAAAGTCTACTGGGAATGTGATTCATACCTGTAATCCCAGCATTCTGGAAGCTCATATAAGAGAAGAGCAGCCTGGGCTACATAGGGAGACCCTATCTCAAAAGTCAAAACAAAAGAAAGCAGAACCAAATTTAAAGTCTGAACAAGGAAAACCAAGAGGCTAAGCGTTCATCTTCTAGAAGTAAAGAATGTGTCAGTAAGCCTCAGTAAGCTTAGTATAGTTTTACCACTTTATGCTGAAGTGAGAAAAATCAGGATAATTAAATTTTTTCATAATGTGACATGTATTCCATCCAAAGGACAATCCTTTAATCTGAGATTAACTTTCTGACTTTTGGGTGGTTTTCCCTATTATCCAATAGTTGAACTTCGTTACTTTTGTTGTTAAAATATTATTTCTCTTTTGAAATAATTATGATAGCTTTATTTATATTTTAAATAGTGATTTAAATAGATCCTGTTTTGATATCCTACTTTTTAAATTGATTTGTGAAATCCAAAATTAGGGAGCCATTGGTCTAATCAAACTAAACATCTCACTTTTCCTTTTATGTTACATGATGATATTCACGGTTCTGTGTCTTTTACCAGGAACATAGAAACTTCAGTGGTATGCGACCACATCCGGGCCATCCCCACCATTTTGGTAGGCACGGTCATCCTCGTGGTGGCAAGCATTCATTTAAGCATGGTGGATTCAGAGGCCGTCATCATCCCCACGAACCACATGATCTTGGATGCCCACCTCCTCCAGAAGAAAAAGATAGCTCAGACAGACCACAAGAAGGACATCCTCCACTAATGCCCCCTTCAGGGCCAAGATGCCATCACCCTCCTTATGACACCAGTGATACCGATAGTTCCCCTCATAATCATAATTCCAGTGAACAACATGAACAAAATCCTGAAGGACACCCTCCTCATGGTCCCCCTCCTCATGGACTCCATCCCCATGGATGCTACCCCCATGGTCCCCCTCCTCATGGACATCATCCCCATGGTCCTCC